CACATCAGAAGCGTTGTGGATGTGTGATGGTTACCTTGTTCAAGGAGTAAAGTCCAAACAGCATGGCTGCTGCAAGAGTCTTGTTATCCAGGTCCTTAAGAACCATGCAACCTCTCAATGATGATACCAACATCAGAAAAGTCTTTGCCTGGCGTCCTTCTGGTGTCAGATGCTTGCGGTTGCTTTCTCGAAAGTGACCTCAGTCGTATCCTGGTTAAAGAGAAAAAATTTATTTAAAATTCATTTTAAATAATCTCTGTTAAATGCAGCCGTTCTATTGCTGTAGTATATCTACTACTATACACGTAGTATAGTAGCCAGAGTCTTGCATCATGCTGCCTTCATAATCAATTAAATGAAAAATAAGCCATAACATTTAGCTCAAATGAAGATGATCCTCTTAAGTTTTACATTAGTTTCTGTTTCAGAGACAGACATCATGAACTTAGACAATTCCAAATTCCCTTTAGCCTTACAATGTAGATACCACAAGTCTAATTCTTTTGGGCTATTTTTTCAAGAGATTCTTACTTTGAATTAATATTCATCATTAACCTGGATCTGATACACTCCAGAGTAGGGCTGGACGGTAATTCAATAGTTGAATCTATCGGTAGACGTGGTGTGATAGAAAAAAAACCGGGTCCATAAAACGTTAAAAAGTTTCCTTTTTCATTATAACCTATCAGGTAGCAGCATACTAGACTCATTGCTTACTGCTAACCAATCACAACCACAGACTAGGGCACACTACGTCACCAGGCCCTCCCCTCTCAAGCCAAAACAGAGCATGAAGCAGCAAGATGTTGCAAAGTGAAGAGGCGGAGAAAAATAAAAATACCAAAAATGAAATGGCCAGGGCTGCACTGCACGTAAAATATATTTTCTACAATTCTAAAATATTTTCCAGTAATTATCGATCAATATAAAAATATTTTTATTTATATACTTTTTTCTATATCGTCCAGCCCTACTCCAGAGCAAAAATCCATCCATCCATCCGTCCATCCATCCATCCGTCCATTGTCTGAACCCACTTGTCCACGCAGGGTCGCGGGGGACTGGTGCCTATCTCCAGCGGTCAATGGGCAATCAGGCGGGGTACACCCTGGACAGAGAGCCAGTCCATCACAGGGCAACACAGAGACACACGGGACAAACAAACACACACACACACACCTATGGACAATTTAGACAGACCAATCACCCTAACAGTCATGTTTTTGGACTGTGGCAGGAAGAACCCAGAGAGAACCCACACATGCACAGGGAGAACATGTAAACTCCATGCAGAAAGATCCCAGGCTGGGATGTGAACCTAGGACCTTCTTGCTGCAAGGCAACAGCTCTAACCACTGCGCCACAACCTTTTTCATGTTGTCATTATGGGGTGTCGTATAAAAATTGGAAGAAAAAATAAATTTAATACAGTTTTTAATATGGCTGTAACATGAGAAAATGTGAAAAATCTTGCTCTGTGAATATTTTCCAGACCCAGTTTACATCAGTCTCCATTCTGCCCTTGTCAGATGAAGGTGTGCACGGTGTGGAAATATGGTGGAAATCACCTTGTTTTAATAGAATCACATTTTTTTAAGTGTTTTTTTTTACACTAGTGCGACCCCTAATGTAAACAAAGCTTTTCCCACTCTTTGGGAGACTGAGTTCAAATGGGTGGTCTTTTATGAGAAACATTCTGGTGTTTGGACCTTGTGTGTGACAAGTTAACTTTTATACTCAACATTAGAGTCATGTTAACAAATTAATAAAGAGCTGTCCTCTTTATCAAACCTACAGTAGGATCACAGGGTTAAGTCTCTGCATTTTGGAAAGTTGCAAAGCTGCAATCTACTCATGAAACACCCACCATGTTCTCCTGAACCAAGATGCCAGGATTCTCATTCAGATAAACGCCAAGTCTTTTGATGACCAACTCCCTCTGAGCATCGGTGGCATCTTTCAAAATAAAGAAAAGATACCTGAACTTAAAATTTCAGTAGAAACTGATCAAAGACAAAAAACCAAACAAATCAGCATGTGACATTAGCATCTACAAAGTAACATTAAAACTACCATGGACTGGAGTTTATAATCTTTAGAAAATATAAAAATAATCAGTTTCTCACAGTGGGACACTGACTTCATTATTAAAATGACAGCATCTTCAGTGGAAGCCGTACTCACAGGTGAAGGAAGGTGAGCTTTGCAGTGGATGCATCATATAAATATTCTTACCTAGTGTGATGCTTATACACTTTATAATTAAACAATTTAAAAGTTCTTACTGTCACTGGTAGCTATGTCTCAGCTGCATGCCCAGCTGCTCTGATCACGTTCAGAGAAGAAGTCGAGCTGCGACAGAAACCTCGACTGTAGAGAGGGATGGTTCGTGACGAACTCTGCAACAACATCAGATGCATTTTAAAAACATCAAAACCACTCATGTTGGCCATGTCATAGCATGCATGGTCTATAATAATAGCTGAACATAAAATGAAATCTTTAATGCAGCAGGGTGCACTGTATTTAACATTCTATAATGTTTTTATACTGTTTTGGAGCTAGGATTGCATGTTTTAGAAGAAGTCCACTGGAACACTTCATCCACACTCAACAGGCTGAGGCTAGAATAGTGAAAACACACAGTCCTGACAGCTTGTTTCTTCATTTACTGGCAGCTTATAGCTTTATGGTGACAACAACACAATATAAATGAGGGGATTGTGTTAGCTCTGGCTTAAATAACACTGTGAAATTCGGCTAGCACTTTTGCATCAAATTAACCCTGTAACACTAATACCTGTGAGCTATATTAGCACCAAAATTCACCGTTTAATTTGCATGCAATAAATAGCGACCGTTAACGGGCCGTTGTAACTCACGTTTGTCACAAACCAGAATGCAGAAGATCTCCAGCTAAAATGAACAAAGGGAGAAAGAGTGAGGGAGACAGGTAAACTAGCTTTAAGGAGTTAACACAAAACTCAGCTATTAGCAAACCCCTGGGCCGGATTATCATTGCAGGGGCCCCTGGGCACAATGTGCTTAGGCCCCAAGCCTAGCGTTACTTTTAACATGAGCAAGTATTGTCTCAAGCCCATGCGTTCTAAGGTTTGTAACAAGGCAAACCGCTTGTAAATCCGTTAATACTTCATCGAGTTAAGGGTGTTTCTGTTTAAGCTGATCACTCACCTTTCAGCTGCTACCATTGAGAGCGGAGGGGTCTGTTGTCTGAGGTAAGATGGCCGCCGTTTAGCTACGCCGTCGACTCCCGCATTCGCCATCCAGTGTCTATACATATCTATACATATCTATGGTGCCGGCCGGGTCCGCGCACATTTATTTGAATGGCTTCCTGCTTCTACCCGTTATCCAAAGTGCAGGACAAAATCCCGTGCATTATCGTGAGATTTAATAATGCTACATAACTGAATCCAGTCACCTCAACATGATTTGATCACATTCATTTATCCTTTCTGCATATTGTGCTGGTTTTACACGACGCCATTACATTCAACATTAAAACAAGAATCAGTTGTGTTAAGTACACCCAAGATGAGTACAGAAATGCAAAGAGGGCCACTTTCTGCTTTTTTCAGTGTACTTAATATGATAGGACTCAAGAGGAAGAAAAAACTATTAGAGAAGTGACAATAAGCTTGAGAACAGCTGAAGGAAAACTACTCAAATTTCTAACATACATCAGCTTTCATTCGTTACGTCCAAAAGTAATTTGGGGGTTGTTCATGTATTAGTTTAGGCTAAGACAAAGGGCCTACGTTCATTCATTCATTTTCTTTAACCGTTATTCTTCAGTTGGGTCGGACGGAGAGCGTGTAACCCTCCAGCAGTCATCAGGCAAGATGTGGGGGACGTCTTAGACATGTCTCTAGTCCATCACAGGGACACACAACCATTCACACACTCACTCACACCTAAAGAAAATCTAGTCTCCAGTTTACCTGATGTTGGTGTGTGGGAGGAAACCGGAGAAATGAGGTTTCTACTATGTAGTCTGCCTGAGCTATGGAGCTCCACGGGGTCTTCTCACTTGTTTGGCCAACATCTCTTTATTGGAGAAGTTTACAATTATTAAATTACAGGTTTAAGAATAAAATAAAGTTCAAGTTTTTCAAGTTAAACAACTGCAAAATACAGCAGGGTAGGAAAATTAAAGTTCTCAGAAGTTCTGAGGACATCTGTGCATGTGTCTGCAGTGGTGCTGCACCTGGTAATCCAGACCTAACCCAATCCAGACCTAACCCAGTGACTGCTTCTGCTTTTGTTTTGTTCCTCCCATGCCAAAAGTGAGCACAGATTTCCATCTGGCTGTTTTGAGTCCACAACACGCTCACATGCTGGCGAACTTTCCACCACTTGATGATTTGCTATAAACAGCTGGTGTTTCAGGCCGAGGTCACCGGAGGCCTTGGAGGTAACGCGATACACGGTCACACTGCAGCCTCTGCTCAGCCAGCCTGGTCAGGTCGTGTGGTCACCACGTCTGTGAGTGCATTGGAACATTTAATATTATTTTCCACCACAGTGTTGAGGTCCAAGTCCACGGGGATGTATGTCATTTACTGTTTGTTTCTCAGCTGAGGGCAGCAAAGATGCTGGTCAGGCTTACGGGCCAATCAGAAGTTCACCTCCTAATACAATTTAAACCTGCTTGTAAAATCCTGCATAAAACGATCGATATGTAGTATAACACTGAATTAAAGAACACAGACACAGTTACAAGTCTTTGAAATCAACGAATGAAACAATAAATACATGCATGCATGCGTATATTATTCCAACTGAATAACTGGGCAATTGCAGTTTAAAGAACAACGTACAAATTGATTGGATGATGTAGTTAGAATATGATTTTAAAAGAAATATAAACGTAAGTAAATAAATTAATTGTAATTATAAAAAAATATAAATATATATATATATATATATATTTTTTTTATTGAAGGGAGCCTGTGTGCATCTGCTTTGCTGCTGGTGCACCAAAATGTCCCCAGTGAGAGACAATAAATTAATTTTCTATTCTATTCTATTGTATTCTATTCTACTCTATTCATTGCTGTAAACAGGGTACGGATTACACTGAGGACCGATGGTGCCAGTGTTAGTGTGCCCCAGGACAGTTGTGGCTACAATGTAGCTTATCATCACCACTGTGATTGGATGAATGAATCACTGTAGTGTAAAGCGCTTTGTAGTCCTCTGACTCTGAACGGCACTACACAAGAAGCGCAGGCCATGTACCGTTTATTGGTATTGCTCTCACAAACCTCAAAAAAGTCACAGTTGGATGTTTTCTTAATATTTGCAGTCCTGTTTGTGTGTCCACTGGTACAAACAGACCAAAATGTTGTCGACTATGACTCCACAAGTGTTCTTTTTCCTGGGCTTTTGCTTTTTCATCATATGACTCTTTAGTCTGAAGGCAGATAAAGTCCAATGTCAATCACTCCCACCGCCTGTACTTTGGTCAGTCTCCATAACGATAAGAGCTATCCTACCATCATATCAAACACGAGTGATAAGAGTCAAGCGGAGTGTTTACACTGCTGGGACGATCCAGACTGAGCGCCTCATCGGCCCATGTTCCTTCTCCATGACCACCGCTGTGGTCCTTCCTCCTCAGACCACAAGATACTTGGATTAAACATTAACCTGTGCTCTCTCTCTCTCTCTCTCTCTCTCTCTCTCTCTCTCTCTCTCTCTCTCTCTCTCTCTCTCTCCTCTCTCACACACACACACACACACACATACGCACATATTCTAATGATGATTCAAACTCGTTCAGGGCTGAATAGCAGACATTAATTTTGCATTGAAAGCTTCAGATCTTTTCAAAGTTAAAGGTATGATCTTTTTGTATTTCTTTGTTGTTATTGTAAAATGCGCAAAAATAGAATGAGCTTGCAGTGATGCTGATTTCATTTTGACACATCAAATCTAACAGTCTGAAGGTATCATATTTAGTTAGTTTTTCTTTCTTTTTATTGTTACAATCTGTTCAAAGTCACATGCCCAAAACATGGATGCATTGAATCAGGTGTGTCATTGTTGGGGTTGGGTTGTTTTACGCCTCCAGCTGGTATTTCAACCAGCTGAGGTTGCAGGCACAATGTTTGTAATTCCTCATTAGAGAAAGCCACTGTTTGTGTTCATAACTAGTAATTACTCAATGATGTCTAATTAGCATCACTGGTCATTTATGAGCAATAGTAATGGCCTGGCTTACTTTAATTTACATATAGGCTGAAAGCAGTGCCTCTCGTTCGTGAACATGCTCCTCTAGCCAACACAACAGAGCTATAATACACTGTTTTACAATTACTGTGCTCACTTTATGTTGTGTTTTGATGTTTTTATATTTTAAAGACTTACTTGTCCAGGAGAAAGGTCGCCAACCTGCATCAACTGAGATAGGTCTTTAAATGTCGGGGCACATTCTGTGATTAACATCTGTAAGTAAACAGTAATCTAACACGATTCGTTAAAACTGACCGGCACTAACCAATAGTGCTGAACAGGATCAAGCTTAGCAAAAGAAAAAAAAACTGTATTTCCTACATTACATCACAGTACATGATAAGACAATCACTTTTATGGATTTCTGAACAATCTTACATAATTCCTGAAAACTCCAGACAGAAGCTTTAACATCTCCTGTTGCTTCTGAAGCTGCAAGGATGTGTGTGTGTGTGTGTGGGGGGGGGGGGGGGGGGAGGGGGGGGGGAGGGGGGTCATTTCATGACAGATTCTCCAAAAAAAGTTCACAAATGCCAGAAAAAGTCACAGGAGGTGTTATTTGCTTGTTTTACAAAATAGTCTGTACAGAGGTCTAAAAGCGTGGCGATGTATTGGCGACAGATTATGAATGAATTTGGGTGAATGCCACCAACCCCCGGTTTGACACTTGCTGACTTTTTAGTCAGTCAGTGGTTCCCAAACTTATTTAGCCACGCACCCCCTTCTATGTCCCGACCATGTCGACGCACCCCCCAGCCCCACATCAGGGCATATATATATATATGTATGTATGTATGTATATATATGTATGTATGTATGTATATATATGTATGTATGTATGTATATATATGTATGTATATATATATATATATATGTGTGTATATGTATGTATATATATGTATGTATGTATGTATATATATGTATGTATATATATATATATGTGTGTATATGTATGTATATATATATATATACATACATATACATATATTTATATATCAGACGTCACGCTAAACAGTCACTCGACAGACAGGGTTAAAAAAATATGATCGACCTTTTCCCCCATCACTTTCATTTTTATGTTTATGTATTATGTATTTTTTAAATAGTAATTAATAAACATTCAATACCATTACAATTTCCTTTGATTTAATTTTAAATAAATATTTAGAGTGCCCAGGTAGCACATAAACAATGCAATTTAACGGTTTTCTTAAAGTAGGAAAGTTTAACCTGTGCGGCCAGAGCGCTCTCCTTCCTTCTGCTCTGCGTAAACCTGAGCTGATCACCTACTTGTGCGTAATCAAATGTCTATAGAGGACAAGATGGAAAAGCAATAGCCATGAGGTTCACTTTTGCCTCAGACAGACTTATTGCTGTTTTATGGTGTGGCTGAATCTGCGATCCGCTGCCACGCGGACTGGAACAACAAATGCTGCAGTAACATGAGTTGTGGTCAGGTTCACGAGGAGTCACTGGCTGGAGCGGACCCGACTTTAATACGTCATCCCAAAATAGAAGCTAATATCTTAATATGACCTTGAATAAAAAATGTTGTTATAAAACCTCTTAAAAGTTTTTATCATAGAGGAGGCAGCGCTCATTTCTGCCTTCAGTCTGACAGCACAGCGCAGCGTGCACTTATTGAATCTGTGTGTGTGTGTGTGTGTGTGTGTGTGTGTGTGTGTGTGTGTGTGTGTGTGTGTGTGTGTGTGTGTGTGTGTGTGTGTGTGTGTGTGTGTGTGTGTGTGTGTGTGTGTGCGGCACAGCTCCATGAGCCGCTGAAGTCACCGCGTCTCGTTATTGGCGCTATTTAAACCAATGTTGTATAATTACTTCTGCCCAGCCCAGATGTGCTCACATGTGAGCCGTGGTTCTGCTGGAACACGTCTGACCTCTGACAGACACACTCTGAACTTCAGATCTTCAGCGTGCTGTTAATAGCCTGACATGTTTAGAGTGCTGTCCCACAGTCAGTGTGCTAATATAATAATATAATAATGCTAAAATGCTTAGACAGGAATCATTTCTTGATTTATTTTGTTACATCCACAATGTTCTGTGTGTGAGGTTTACAATGTCAGAACACCTGCATGAGACAGGGTGTTAATTACAATCTGCCAGAATGACTCACCACCTTCAGATTCCTCCAACACCGTTAAAAATGATCAAATATGGAACATATCTTGCTATTGACAGCGTGCACAGGTCAGAGCGCTGAAGCTCGGAGCATTATTATTATGAAGCTAGGGCACATGCGGAGGGCACACACACACACACACACACACACACACACACACACACACACACACACAAGCAAAATATACTTGTTTTCAATTACATTTATTGGGCCCGCTTACTTTTTCTTAGGCCCACCCACAAATGAGTTTCTGGCTACGCGAATGGTGACATATGACAGACTTCTCTGAGCTCCACAGCCATTACACTTTTCACCTCGCGCACCTCCTAGCGGCAGCTCGCTCACCCACAGGGGTGCGCGCACCACACTTAGGGAATCCCTGCTCTAGGTCACAGTAATGTTATAGTGTTCACGATGACATTTTTCATGCAAGCCCTGCATAGCCTGTAGACCGAGGATGACAGTCAGTGATGTACACCAGATGATCTATAACTGTATTTCTAAGACTTAAAAATCTTTGGAAGTACTCTCAGTTGCAGGGTCTTTCTCTGTTGTGGCAGAAATTTTGAACACGTTTAAAAACATTCCAATGACAATTTTTAAGTCAAGATAGTTGCAGTTGTTGCAGCATCGGGAACAGCGATTCAGAAAGTGTGAGAAATCCAGCAGATATGGATTCTCTGCTTGCCCACGCAGCTGTATGAATGTTTGACGGCGATGCTAATACACTTTTGAGCTAATTTAACTGTAAACCATGTGATTTTTGAGCAGATGATTGAATTCCAGTTAATAGCTAGTTTAAACACTCCTGATTCACTCCTTTTGCCCTTGTGTGGGCATTCCCAAGACATTAGCATAGTGACATGGATGGTAGTTAGCTGTCTGTTGTTCAAGTGTAACACAAATCCCTAGGACCCTGCTCGTCTTCCACCCTTAGCAAGGCTTTGTTGAGTGAGCACTAGAGGGGTTCTGACCTTTGAGACAAAGCCTTTTCATTGCCGTAGAAACTGCTGTTTTCTTTTCTCCACGCCTCACTCGCTCTCTCCGTCTGACACCTTGTAGATAAGGACTGTAATGCAGCTGAACGGACATTCTTCTTCATTTTTGTGTGTCTGTCACCTTTTGTTAAATCCAATCCACTAAACCTCTCCAGTGTCTGGATAATCACCTCTGTGTATTTACATTCTTATGTTTGTTGGTGGAAACACAAGGTTACCTTGGTCCATCACCTCATACCTGCTGGTTAAGGGGGGTTGAGAACTGTATAAAATAATTTGTATTAAATGTATTATTTAAATAGAAAGTTGCATGCTCAAGAAGGACTTGCACAACAAAGCCCCATGTTCACTCACATGTGGACTGATTTATATCTAGACCATGGTAGTTTTATAACTGACCACAAACTTGTGATAACTTAAAAAAATATTACATGGGTTGATTATTGGTGTTTAAACGTACAAATGGTGGTCAGGTTTTCCTCAAGATGCTACTTAGGTTTGTCCCCTTGAAGCAGTATTAAAATGAGATAGTGCTGACTGAAGGAAGTGTACAAAACAAGATGTCCTCTTGAGGTTAGGCATTGGGGGCTGAATACTAAAGTTCAGTCTGCTTGCGGACTAACACTGCCTCCATTCAGAAGTACAAGCATATTGTGAAAGGGGCTGCTCAGTAGGGCTGCTTGCTGGCATGTCAGGGCTCTTTGTTTTCACCATGCAGAAATGTACTGGTCCTTTACCCTCTTTGGTTTAGAAAAGCTGCTCCTTCTGTGTTTAGAAATGTTGTCATGTTAATAATTTGGTGTAAAGTTGCTGTCTGGAGTTTTCCCCTTTCAGGAACTATGTATGATCTTTCACAAATCCATAAAAGTGATTGTCTTATCATGTACTATGGTATAATGTAGGTGATACAATTTATTTACTTTTTTCTCCCTGTCCCATAGAGTTCAATGCAATATGAACTGGAACGGGTCAGCACTAACCAATAGCAATATTCTACCATTTACATACAGACGTCAATTCAATTCAATTCAAGTTTATTTATACAGCGCCAAATCACGACAAGAGTCGTCTCAAGGCACTTCACATAATAAACATTCCAATACAGGTCAGTTAATTAAGCCATTCAGAAAAAATGTTTCCTACATAAGGAACCCAGCAAATTGCATCAAGTCACTGACTAGTGTCAGTGACTTTACAGCAGTCCTCATACTAAGCAAGCATGCAGCAACAGTGGAGAGGAAAACTCCCTTTTAACAGGAAGAAACCTCCAGAGAATCCTGGCTCAGTATAAGCAGCCATCCTCCACGACTCACTGGGGATCGAGAAGACAGAGCACACACACACACACACACACACACACACACACACACACACACACACACACACACACACACACACACACACACACACACACACACACACACACACACACCAATTAATGTATCTATGGTTACATTGTGATTTCTTAGTA